CCTCGTTGCTGAATGGGCCACCCTGGCTAAATAAAGTTTACCTTTACCCTTTACCCTTCCTCCCACACACGCACCCCACCAACTGGCGACTATCTATTGCATCTGCTGCGCAAAGCATTGACTTTGGTGTTGTAATCAACAGGCTCTGGAAGCAATCGACGAAGTGGGTGACCTTCTTAAAGTCAAGTATTCACGAAGAAAGATGGACGCAAGGGAATGACGGCAAGGACAGCTCTCTAAAGAACGAACTATCCGCAATCTGAAAAGATTGCATGTTCTTCCAGATAAAAAAAACAACAACAACAACACAATATTACTGTGGTTTTAAGTTCTCACACGAAATGGCTTGGTGTAACGAACCGTACAGCATCACCAAAGAAGCAAGATGTGAGATATTCATTTGAACTTACCTAACATTTCGCAGCATTAGGCAAGAGAGGATAAAGGGTACGTGAGTCTCCCATACAGGCCTTATTGCCAAGGTAATACCTTTCAAGTTATTTTTAGACATGGTACCCGGCTCTTCCGTGGATAGTGTGTTACCACGCGCGTTGCGTGGATGTTTTACTTTCGGAGACTATAAAAATGCATGTGAGGCCGCTTAAGCTGTGCACGTGACCAGAATCCGCGTTACAAGATTGGCTGTTTCTAGACCCTCCTGAGATTTCCGAAACCGGACAAGGTCTAAAAATAACATGAGAAGGATTACCTTGCGAAAAAAGCGTATAGAAGGGTTAACTCTGTCACTCTTCATGATCTCTTGCGTTAGGCTAGCAATTGCAGTGATTACTCTTGAAGATACCTTGTTAGGGAAAGTATAACGGCTTTCAATAATGCAAAACAGTAATTTTAAGTAGTTAAGGACATAATCTACCGGACTCCAAGGTGTACAGGTATGTACAATAAGTCAATAAGGGCCTTGAGGGGCGTTAAGCGAGAAAGTCTAAAAAGATAGTGTTTGTAAATATTCCAAAAATTTCTATACTTTTTGGCTGGTTCTGAAGAATTTTGGTTAAGAGATGTTAATTTTATTCTTGATGTTGCTGGTGACATCAGTTTTGGCATATACAGTAAAGGTGTGATGTAAGAAAAGTTATTATTAAGTTTTGGAAGAAATCAACCAGTCGAAATTTTCGCGGCAACTCAGTTTTGCAATTTTAGAAGGTCAATATTTGGCGGTCATTAATTTATTGCGAATTTGGCGAATTTGTTCAATTTAAGTAAGCCATGATCTTTTTTCGGCATCAAATTTTTGCGATTTCAAGAAATACGGGGAAATTTCAAAATTTGAGGCTACGAAAATTTCGAGTAAGAATGAGCTTGATATTTTTAATTTGATTGATAGCTTCTATTGTGATGTTGTTTAAGGCTGTAACTTCGTAAAAACACAGTAAAATAAAAAATTAAAAAAAAAATGGTTTGGCCGAACCAGGCAGTATTGTGATGTTCTAAGAGCAGTGGATTGAGAATTTTTAAGTAAGTACGTAAGAAAGGTGGATAACGCTATCCAACGGATAGTGACGTTTGTTTTGCCAACACTTCTCCACTGGATAGCGATTTATCTGGTGGATAGCGTTATCCACCTTTGAACAACTGGGCCTAGAACAATAGAATACAACAGTCTTGTCAACGTGTTCGTGTACTGTATAAGATCTTGGAAGTCTCTTTTGCGTGTTCTTTTCTTTCTCGGCTGGAGGGACCGATGACGTTGCTCAACACAAGGAGATCACTTTATGTGCTGTTTTGCTTTAATATCCAGTTTAAAACCACTTGCTACCTGGATGCACTAATCTCGCCTCGCAGATTTGATCTCATAAGCTGCGAGAAAAGAGAAAAGCAATGTTCTTACTGGAAAGTACACTATATACAATATTGGTTTCTATGGGTAAAAGCCCAAAGAAAATACACGAGTAGATTGGTTTAAAATCGTATTTCTATATAACTAGTTGGAAACACCGAACTAGCACGAGCTGCTGACGTAATGATGACGTGGGCAAAGAGAATTTACATTTTGATGATCAAAGCAAACAAGTTGTTTTCCTTTTTTTCGTCGCAGTATTTCGAGTTACAGAAACACGAGCGGAAGTTTGGGAGAACGAGAAATACTGTGGGGACACGAGCCGACGAGGAAACATGTTCAGTTTCTATTTCTTAATTATCAACTTGCATTCAAAAAGGAAAAAAGTTACCATATAATGATGGAACCGTCAATATTTTGCATTTAGGAAAAATAAAATGAAACATCTAACAAAACTGTGCTACACAAAACACCTGAGACTGTATAGAGCGTCCGGAAATCCACAGAACTTGCGTTTGTTTTCAGATAGCATGCTTCGAAACGTGAGGTAAAGCTTACCATTTTCCTGTCTTCTCGTGTTAGTTCTTCTTTCCCCATCACGAACGAAAGTTTAGCTAGCGCAGACTCCACTGTCATGTCTTTCCCTGGAACAACTCCTAACTTAACAAGGCCCTGGATAGATAACGAAACAGAAATGTGATCTCAGAGAATCTCAGAGAAGCAGACAGGTACAGCTGGGCTACAAAGCAGTATACACGCAAAGTAGTCATAGTCATAGTAAATTTTCTTGGACAATTCCGTCCAAGGGGGAAAGGTGCAATGACGTTTACCCTATGTAAAACATCAACCCGTGAAACAAGGCCAGACCACAACACCGGGAGCTACGTGCCCTACTCTTTGCGATAAGCCTGAGTGTGTGGGTTCTTGAACGTCCCCTGCTAACCATGTAACACTGAAGATGCAGGAGACGGGGCCTACGGTTTATAGTCCTTATTCGAGAAGACTTGAACGTCTAACCATTTGCAGATGTAATTGCAAAGGTAGTACATTCTCCTCAGTCATTTTAAGACCCTGAGTGTTGGTCCGGTCTGGGGTTCGAACCCTCGACCTCCCGCACAGCAGACTGGCGCTCTACCAACTGAGCTAACCAGGCGGTGGTTTAGTATACACGAAGGTAACGAACTAAGGGTGACGTTTACTGGTCTCTTAGCTATAAACATAACAGTAAGACAGCGATTGCAACCATCACGTTAAGAACAGAACAATTGCTCGCTGTTTTCCTTGTGAAATTTGACGTCCCGTGAGAACGCTAGTCAGGAAATGAGGAAAAGAGGGGAGGGGTTTGTATATTTGAGGTGACTTGTAACCGGAAAAAATTATTTTGTTTGTCCATAACTTATAATAACTCGTGGTGAGCCCATAAGCGAGTGAGAGAGGGGAGAGGAAGAGAGGGAAAGAGGAAGGGTCTTGTAACGAAATGATAACAGCAACATTCCAAGAAATGGTTCATTGAAACTTCTTTAGAAATCAATTATGAATTGAAATTACAATGATTATAAACTAAGGGAAAAACATCCATCATATGCTATTTAACTGTCACAACAGTGACTGAAAGAGAAATCAAAAACATCTGGAAGTAGTGAGTTTAAGCACGTCGTTTAACACAGCAGCTGATTATTTACTTAAGGACTTCCTGTGTCAGAGCATCTTGTGCTATTCTTCTCTGAAAAATTCTGCCCGCTGAATACTTAGAAGAGGAATTTAGAAAGATCGTAAGGTTGCCTTCGGTCGCATAAGCCTTCCACTCAATAATATACCACCCACCTGTTCCACGTACTCCGTAGAAACATCATGTGGCCCTCCACGGCAAGGGCAGCACGTGACAATGACCACGCCCCTCTGTACCGCGCCTTTGATCGCTTCCAACAGGTCTGTTCTTGAATCAGGTATATTACCGCTGCCATACGTTACCAAGACAACACCCTCTATTGGAGACTCTAAACATCCTTTTATCTTTAAGTAAAAAGAAAAGCCGAGATCAGAGATGGCTGAAAACGACGTTTACAAGTGAATTCTCCGGCCATGAGAACTTTCGTTGTTTAAGTGCTCAGAAGATCGGAAAAGCCTCATTGAGTAACGATTCAAATGAAATCGTTTTAATGTTTTTATGTTGTACAAGGTGGTTCAAGATGGTGTGTGAATGAAACCCTAGTGTGTAACCACTCTACTGAAAGCTACTGAGCATTACTTCCTTGTGGTACTGTTTATTATGCCGTACAAAACGGTTCTATCTTTTAGGTCTGTGGATGAAAATCTAGTGTCTAACAACTCTAATGAAAGCTACTGCACAGTTTTTTTTTAATGCTAAGCTACTCCACAGTACTTTTACACCGTACTGTTTATCATGCTGTACAAGAAGTTTGTGTCTGTTGCCGAGTTATTATTAAGTGTGTGCATGACCACTGAGATAATACAGCTCAGGAGTACTTCCCTGTGATGCTCTTTGCTTCATAGTATTTTACGTATAATTGAAATTCAGTGGCACATACCATTTCTATTGGAATGCCAGGAAACACAGGAAGCAAGGCAATCTTTTGGCTCATCTTAGTGTGGAGTGCAAAACTCCCAGTTTCCTTTCGTGAGTGATCAACAGTATGATTCCATTGAACTAATAAAGAACAAGTTAATTTTTCAGCAAATGGGAGGCGTCATTTAAAGTAGACCTGTGGAGCAAGTTGTGGGAGACGCGGTGGCCTCATGGTTAGTTTGCTCATCTCTGGATCAAGTGGTCCAGGTTTGAGCCCTGGCCAGGGACATTGTGTTGTGTTCTTGGGCAAGAACCTTTACTCTCACATTACCTCTCTCTGCCCAGGTTTATAAATGCGTGCCGGCAAATTTAATGCTGGGGGTAACCCTGCGATGGACTAGCATCCCATCCAGGAAGGAGTAGCAATACTCTAGTCATTTCATGCTACAGAAACCAGGATAAGCTCCAGCCTGATAGCTCCTGATGGGCCACTTGGCCCATATACAGACTTTACCTGTGGAGAAAGTTACATGCACAACTGGGAATGATAAGCAGAGGATTAATCAGTTTTTCTTTTTCACTTACTATCTCCATGGCTGCTCAGTCTTGCCAATGGGGGAATGCTTGGTGAATCAAACACATTGTAGCTCTTTGCATCAACTTTGGTGGATCTGTTTCCTCTGAAAAGCTTGCCATCAAAGAAAATGGTCACCTGCAGACATCAAATTAGTAATAAACAATTAATGCAAAATGGACCCTAAGCAGACCGCAATGCTTCATTAACTTTTTCAGCAGGAAGGCAGTTGGTTTTTACAGGCGGGCAAAACTTTTTGAACTGAACTTCTATATGTCTTTTGAGAAAAATTTTTCTCTAGATTATCAAACCAGGCAGGCAAAATCATTCTCACAGGCGATCAATTTGCCCAGTGCCCAGCCCTCAATAAAAAAAACCCTGCAAAATGTGGTTATATGAATTTTACTCATATAAGCCTCTTCAAATAGGCTTGGCCATATTTCGGGGAATCTTAAAATAAGAGCACAATTGAGTTGGTTTGTCGGGTTTAAAGAGGGCTATGGGACTGTGGTCATAGAAATAATCTGGCGCTTGTTACGTGGGGCTCAGCTTGATGAGAGAAAGAACTTGTTAGTCAGTGCTACTTAAGGTGATTAAAGGTTAATCAAATCTGCCTTCTGAATGAACAGCCACGACAGTGAACTATTAACATCATTTATTTCAGAAGTGCAATATATAGATATCTTTATTACATTGCTTGCAAAAAATTTTGGGTGATTTTAATTTCAGACAAAAAGTGCACGAAAATGAAACCATCCACAATCTGTAAGCGTCGGAAATTTGAAGCGTCCAAAATATTTACAGTACAGCATAAAACTTTGAAGTAGCACCAAAGCTCATAGTTTCCTATATACTGGACTTCATGGAGCAAACTCTAGTTGAGACACCACTTGACATATGCAATGCATGTGTTATTTTCTTGTTGATTAATGCTCGTAAAACCTTGAGGGTGCCGTAAAACTGTTATCTTTTGTTGTGGTTCCAGTCTAATTTGTGTTTTGTAGGCATAAATTTACTTTAACTTTGTTTCAGCACTGTTCAATATATTGTTGTCCAAAATTTTAATGTCCAAAATTTTTTGCAAGTAATGTACTGGTTTCTACCTCAGGGATGGCATACTGTCCAGCAAACAGTAATGCCCCTGCCAGGTTGTCTCTTGCATCAGTTACTGCATCATAAATTGGAGTCTGCAATGTGATGGAACAGGCAGCTTCATTTTCATATTTTTATGGGAAGGTACATTACAAGTATACTTGCTATGTGCTACATACTGTCAATACTGTTCAATGGAAGGATAGTCCTGTGGAACCACGTTCCAGCTCCATTTTTTTTTCCACGGTTACATGTCATGCACACAAGATCAAGCAGTATGTGCATATTAATTAACTGAGTCATTACCCCGCATATCTCTAAGCTAGTTTTCTGGTAAGGGATTGGTCAACCTTAATCCAAAATAACCTAAGTGACTTAGGGCTGCCATCCCTGCAGTCAAATTTTTTCATATGCAACATCATACCCTGTCCAGCACTTTTTGAGGGCTCAGTTTAAAGGAATTGTCTCAAATTGTGAACTTCTTGCTACTTCTAATGTATTTCCACGCGCTTACCTGTGCTCCTGTGAGGACAACAGGTTTGCTGAGGTTCTCGAACATGAAAGAAACAGCAGATGCAGTAAAGGCCATAGTGTCCGTCCCATGCAGGATGACAAAGCCATCATAGTCATCATAGTTATTGGCAATCTCTGTTCCCACGTCAATCCAGTCTTCAATACTAGTGTCTTTAGACTCCCTGATGGTACCAGCCTCTTTGATATCATACAATATCCTACTGCCCAGCTTAGTGACACTAAAATAATGAATCAGAGAATCTGTTGTTACTAAACAATCCTGGACAAAATGGATCTTGAGAAAATATAACTCAACTTTAACTTCTTAACTTTATACTTTATACTACTATACATGTAGCCAACATGCATGTCACTGTTATTTAGAAAAGTAACCTCACAAAAATATGCATGCTGATTGCAATTGAAGATATCAATTTCATTTTCTCATGTTTAAAAAATTTTTTTTACCACTTGATGAAAAATTCAGTGAAACGTCATGTAATATCCTCTTCTGATCTCCTAACTTATTGCTCATGATAAGCACACTACTGTAAATCACTTACGGCATAGCTAGTCTCTGTGTGGTATCCACTTCACTCGCATGTGTCACACTGCAAGTTGGATCATGAAGCATTTGAAGCTTTTTCAGTTCATCGATAAATAAATCTAAGTGAAGGGCACAAGGCTCTGAGAAAAAGAGAATGTCAATTAACACAATATTAATATTTAAGAAGCTTCTCAGGCCTTTGGACGATCAAAAATTTAAATTCAAAAATTAGAGCTGAAATTCTTCAACTCAGTAAAATTCATCAAGCTTACCACAAGGGTGTTTGGACACCATATCTGACTTTAATTAGCATTTATTTTTAGATTTTAGATTTGACTGAGAAGATATATTAAACTCCCAAGGGAGTGTTTTACCACTTTTCCAACCACCCTCAAGTTCGTCAAAAATACTCTGCTGTACATTACTTTTTCAACTCTCTTCTTGGTGTTTGGAAATGTGGTATTTGAACATGGTATCTTATGTTAGACACTGCTATCAAGGAAAGGAAACCAGGAATCTTACCATTGTCATTGAGTTTCTTCATTCCTATTGTTCCACCAGTGTACAGTACAAGTACCAATGACGATTTTCCTTTGTCAGCCATAGCAGTCCCAGCAGTAACAGAGTGTATCTATTTCATCATAATGTGATAAAACAACAAATATACCAAAAAGGCTTGTTGGTTCCAAAATCTTCCCACTTTGAAAAACAAGGAAACAACAATTTGACATACTCTATTGTCTATAAAGACTGAAGCAAACTCATTGTTTGCTATGCATAGCAAAGAATTATGATTGGTTCAGGGAAACCCCGCCACTGTCATTGTCACTGTCCTGAATAGAAAATCACAGCAAAAGCAAAATTGAACTCCAAAATTTACTTAACAAATAGATTCCATGTTTCCATGCATCTGTTCAGTGATACATCACAGATGATGTCAAAATGTGGTAAGAGCAAAAAAGCGGCATAAGTAGCCATTAGGCAAGTGTTACTGGTGTCACCATTACTGAACAGACCCACAACAATGTGGAATCTCTTGGTTTTATATACTAAAGAGACAAAAAATGTTAATGGCATTCATTATTTTGTTTGTCCTCCAACAGATCATAAGTAAGAACTAATCAAAATGCGAGGATAATTTGACTTATTATTCAAAATGCCAGAAAAAGTCAACTGAAGTCAGTTTTTGTCATCAGAGCACCTCTATAAGCTGAAAAATACCTGAAGGTTGCCTTGCGTATTGCAGGAGTTGGAAAAGCCACTTGCATTTGTGCTCGACATTGACACATTGGAAGCTATTGGCCTCAAGCTTTGGATGAGTGGAGTGGTTGGAACAGATGATATTTGTGTGCTCTTTCCTCTGTGACTCTGTAGTGCATTTGAGATGGTGCCAGAAACAATTTCCAGCTGCAATCCGGATGGCTGTGCAATGTAGTGAGCTTTACTTTGGTCACAACTGTTCCCTGAAACAAACATGATGTGGCAGTCTGGAACATTCCTGTTGGGAAGCAATGTTATGCCCGTCGTCCTTACAGAATGGTTGGTGTATATCTGAGAGAGCTTTGCTCCAGCAGATATATTTTTCATCATTTCGCCCAACTTGTTAATACCAAGTGGTCTGTTTGCATACCAAACAGCATCATCATTTGTCACGTTTTGTTTTGGCTGTTGGAAAAATGCTGTGCATGATGGATTTAATTTCGATAGATAAAATTTCAGACTGGCAAAGGCATCATCATCTGCACCAGTACTATAAAGCCTTGTTTCTCGTTCAGCCAAAGGCTTGCTGTTTTCACCACTGGGGTGAAATTTTGTGGCTTCTCCCTTGGTTATGACCACAAACTCATGGCCATTGGCATCCTTTGTAAACTTGAAGCTTTCACGGCGAAGATCTCGCTGGCTCTCTCTTCCACACCTGCACCAGTGAAGAGAAACGTAAAACCACGTCCTTCTCAGCAGTCCAGCTGGAGTTGTCGTACTAAGGAAAGGGCTGGTGCGAATTTTTTCAAGGTCAGATGCTATAATAACTGGTTTGTGTTGAACACTTTCTTTACCAGCACGGCGGTTGATTCTCAACTTGGCATCGAGAATCTTGTTGCTGTTTTGAAACAAATGGTTTTTTGATAATTTCAGAGTTATACCGTTGTTGTTTAGGTATCGTTCAATTGAACTGCGAAAACCAAGAAGAGCTGAACGACTGTACTCGTCACCTTTTATTGTCCTTGCTTCAACATAAAATCTTGCCAGGTTTTGGTCTAATTCCACTGTATTCATTTCAAGAAGTGGTGTTGAGACTTTTCTTTCCTGGCACCAATCTGTGTAAAAAATTAGTTTCAGACTGAGAAAAATTGATGGTTGGTTGAAGGAAAAAGTTGATATAAACACATCGCTTAATTCATCACATCCCAGGTTGAAAGTATTCTAGCAAGAATGCCATTTTTCCATTGGAAACGGCACATTATTTAAACCCCTAGGTGAATTTGTTAATATTGTTGTACTTGATAAGTTAAATTTAATGAAACCTAGGTTAGTTGTGCAAACAGGAACTTCAAGGTCAAGGTGTAGCCTGGTGGAAGTGGAAGGGCGGTACTCTACAAAGTCTTGTATGGAAAGACTCCACCCCAAGGTCCAACCCCTTGCCCTTTTGTATACTACTTTGTTAGATAGGTAACCCTTTCCTATATATTTTATAAAAAAAAGTGCCCCTTTCTCACATCTATCACGTATAATATAATTTACCTAAAGACGTTGTGGAGGGAGAAACTCTGAACATTTTAAAGAACAGGCTCAGATGCCATTTTAACTAATGTTTTAGGAAATTTTGGAACTTTTTATTGTGAATTTATTCAGATGTAAATTTGCGTTTTTTATTATTTTAGGAGACAAACTCAAAAGGGATAACCTCTTTTGTCTTCTTTTCACCTTTCATTTCATTTCAATTGAATTTGAATTTGAATAACCAGTTATGTTATGTTATATTATCTACTTAAGAGCACTGTATCCCTTTTCTAAACCCTTGGAATGACGTCAGTAGACAATAATATGGGAGAACATCAAGCATTACCAGAAGAGTTGTTAACCAACGGACAAGAATAATTTTTTAAGTTCCTGTTTACATTATACATAAATGACAGATCCCTACCCTTTCATATACCTTAACTCATAAAACGCCTACCCTTTTTACCCCAAGGGGTTGATGGGAGGCAGGGGGAGGGGGGGGGTGGGGTTGTAGAATGACCCGTATACATTTTACTCTCTCGACCTAGAAACCAGTTTATTGTTCTGATCTGTCAATAATGTGAGCAGTACTCAGAACATACACTTGAATTTCACTTGTGGAGCAATTGGCTAGATTGTAGAATACCGGGCCACTCATTTGCATCTCACTGAATTTGAATCGTTTCTTTTGTTTCTGTATGCTTCACTCTTAGAAGCGTAGAGGGATATGTTAATAAGTGGCCCGGTATTGTAAAATCGCTCCAAGCAATTTACTAACCTTTTTAACGCTCCTTTATTTGACTTAAGCTTATTTCTAACTAGAACGATCTGACTTTTTTTATGGAACGATATGACCTGGAACGATCTCACCGGATACCTGTACCTTTTGGTAAATTAACCACATGATCGTTTTGCTCAATGACTTTGTTAAATTCGAAGCAAAGCAAAAGTTTCTTACCTTGAAATAATTTCACCACCCATTTCGTGTTTCGTTTAGTCCCGCTCGACTGAGACTGTTCGAGGATACTTTCCAAGTCCTTTTCTACAAAGAAACGTGCTTTTCTTTCTTCTCCCTGCCTCTCGCTGCTGTTCTCAACCTCCACAAGACTTTCTCCTACATCCTCGTTCGCCAAATCAGGTGAAATATCACCTATATTTTCCAAACTTTCCGCCATTTCACAAAGAGCACACAATTCAGTTGTCTGTTTGTCTGTTTGTCCATCTCCTGCCTCCTGCTTACATGAAAGAAGTTGTGATGTCATACGAAACCGCTACCCACATGTCCTCCAAAAAAGAAAAACTGACTAGTACCTAGGCCTCTTCGCGCTGTGCAAAAATTTTTCATGGGTCAGTTCACATTGTTAGATTCTGACCTCGAGATTTCCATTGCCATTCGAAAAAGGTCCGTTTTAAAATGTTTTCCGTCCACACGAAAACTCAAAGCCCCCGTTTTCAAATTCCTCCGGTTTCAAGAGCGTTTTCGAAAAGCTTCGTTTTCGTGACGGATTACCCTGGACTGTCGGGCCTAACCGTAGAAATAAAACTGTATGCCTTTTTAAATTCCTCCGGCGTAGTGTGGACGGAGTCTGGAGCAAACCACGACGTCAATGAGCACCACCAAATAATAGGTTTAATGAGCAAAACAAGGCTGTGCAAGTGTGTTCAGTAAACCTCTGTACATTCCATAGCCTTCTGCAAAACAACAACGCAAAATGACCGCGAACGCGAACGATGAGTTGAACTGCTAATATTTCGTATTTCCATTTAGAATTGAACGCTGTCATTACATATTTAGCCTGAACGAGGTCTTAGAGCCATTGGCATCCTGGACATATTCAATTTTACAAGGCGTTGTCCTCGGCGTCGCCGTCGTCATTGTTAAGATCCCCACATTTGCATCTCGGATGCTGGAAGGTCGATACACTTGTTTAAAGACCGGGGTCTGTCATTTAAAGTGGCTGCTTTGTGCTTTGCTCATGTTTTATCCCAAGACCAGTCGAACGCAGATGAGAATATAGTGCAAAAACCGTAAAAAGTCACATAAATTGTTGCTCTTTGCCAAGGTTCTTTTTAATTCAGTGATTAAGTTGTCGAACGTTTCGGTAGGAAGTTGCTGCTGAAACAATCTCGTTTACGTTACTTCGCCGATACAATACCTTTTCATCTTCCCCATTACTACACGGCAATCGTTCGCATCTCCTTCTTCAGTATAGCTTAAGGCTTTGAACACTTTAAGGCAATAACGTCCTTGAACATGGCGAGTTGATACTTGGGGCTTTCCCGCTCCAAACCAAGTAATTATTACAGTATTTCTCTTTCCATAGCTTCCAGTACTCGGGGATCTCGCCACTTAATTGACCTCAAATCTAAATGTTGCGGAAACAATGATGTCTGGTGGAATAACATTGAAAATTGTGATGTTTTAGGCGGCGAGGCACCGGAAGTTGTTTTCGCTCGTAGGCATTCATAGACGATGAAGTACCCTTTCGTTGCAACATGCAAAATTAGATGGCAGAGAGAACCTTGAACGAACTTCATCAATCAATGCTTAATCTGGCTACTATAACTCAAGATACACGAGGTGAACGCTTATTTTAATGTATAACTGTATGTGTAGCATAAATTGCAAAGCCGTTACAGAACATAAGCGTGCATATAAAGAATGTTTGGCAAATTAGCATATTATAACCTTAACAGTTAAGGTATGTCTGCCATTTTGAACAATCAAATCCAGCCGGTGTCAGAAACTCGTTTGTCCAGTTTGGCTATGACGTCAGTGCTTTCTCATTGGCTCACAGCAAAGCCTTTTGTTCTTTCGCTTTATAAGTGCGACACCACCCGGATGGTTGGGCGGCCAGTTAACTCCACCGCAATATACACATCTCTCTCTTAAAACAATACCTCCTGGATTTATAATAAAGTATTCTTCCTCAACCATCCCCCTAACTATCCCCCCTCACAGCCCTGCATTTCATTAATCCCCTACGTACGTACACCTACTCAGCCTGCATATCATTTATCCCCCACATACACCTACACATCTTTCATCGTATTAATTCCCAACATATACCTACACAGCAATACATCTCATTAATCCCCTCCATATACCTACACAGCCTACATCTCATTTATCCCCCACATATACCATCTCCCTCTATTAACTATGCATATACCTACACAGCTTTCATCGTATAAATTCTCAACTTATACCTACGCAGCCCACATCTCATGAATCTCTGACGTTTACCTTCACAGTTTGCATTTCATTAAATCGTTTCTAGAGTCATAACTCATTATATTCAGTGGTTATCGACTCATGTAGAACCAAGTGATCTTCAGATATCTTGGAACAAGTAAATTCACTATGGCTATTGAAATTATCCGTTCATTTGTAGCCTGGGAACAGGCTCCCGGTTGGGTTAATGAGTTTAGTGCGAACTAGCCAAGTGTGGTCTAGGACGAGCAGGGAGAGCCGAGAGGGAAGGGGGAGCGCAATTCGCGCAAATCTTTTTTCCGCGCTTAACTGTTCGCTTCGCTAGCCGGATTTTGTTTTCTACTCCCCTGCCAGATTTATTTCCGCCCTCGCTGGGAGCCTGTTCGCAGGCTACTTCACTTGTTGTGTGTTCAGCCGTTCGAACGGATACCGTAAGGAACGTTTTCTCGTGAGAGGTCACATATTTGCCTGTGAAATTTTGTGTTTGAATCAGCAAAGTTCTTCTTTTAATGACGCGTTTAGGGTCGAGAAAGTAAAATTGGCGATCTACGCGTGATATGGTGAAAAAATTCTCCGTGACGCTTGATTAAATAGAAAAATTCATCGTGATGCGGGATTGGTACCCCACCTTTGCCACCCTCCGGTAAGACAAGCCTTGTCTTACCGGTCTCCGGCCAAAAGTAATTTCATAAAAAAGACGCTTCAGACGGGCGAGGAAGGCGAAAAACCACCACAGATGAGTCGATTAACGTTTCATTTAACTTCATTGGGATACTCAGACCGAGATGTAACTCAGACATGTAATTTTCAGAGCTTTATTCATAACCCTCATAGATTCTGTTCCTTTCATATAAACAATTATTAACCACGAACACATAGAGTGGTCTGCCTGTGATCTCCACGTTTGGAATGCTTTGAAACGGGAGCCCTTCTTGTTTGATGAATGAGACTTCACAGCAAAGGAAATTGTGAAAAGAGAACCCCCAATGGTTTTCTTTCCAGTCCTATGTTAAAACGTGTTTCACAACTGAAAAGAAGAAACGATGTGATTGCATTCGTGTGTCAATTTTCATCTCTTCGCGACTTCGTATTTGCTTCCGTTTTCCGGCAGTGAGGAAACTAAATATCTTTCAACTTTTTGAAAGGTAACAGCGTGTAACTGATTTAATCGATACAATTGTGAGTTTTTGAAGATCTTTGATCAGGCAAAAGCCGACAAATGTTAGAGAATTCTGCACATCAATATTTATTCTCTTAGCTTTTTTTTTTGCAGAATCTCTCTACCGTACCTTTGAATTGACTTGTCAACTGTCCGAAATCCTTGTTAGCGAAGCTGACTCCTTTATTTACAAACGAGAAAGGTGTCAAAATGTTGCATCCACCTTTTGTTTATATGTATTCTTAACACAATGTATGTTATGCAGCTTTTGTGTACACTTAAACGCTGTGTTGACAACTGCGCGACACAGTTTTCGAAGCTGATTAAACCCGGATCACGTGAACATCTTTGACAAAGGCTACAATTTGATTTGATGAAACTTAGATCACGTGAACATCTTTAGCAAAGGCTAGAATTTAATTTGGCATCAGTTACATATCACAAAGGCTACTAAGGTTGAGACCCGCGGCAAGATGATATCGATCTTTCGAGTTTTTGTTGCACTAAGTTTAATTGCCCTTGTTCTGGGTCATGGCCGACTTATCGACCCAGCCAGCCGGAACTCGGCTTGGCGATACGGCTTCGACACACCGAGGCAAGACACAGACAATGAGCTGAACTGTGGAGGGTTTAATGTCCAATGGTCCACCAACAAAGGCAAGTGTGGTGTGTGCGGTGACGCGCACCATTTAAAGGAACCCAAGTACATCCACCCAGGAAAGTACGCGACAAAAACCATCACCAAGACGTACAAAGAGGGGCAGGATATTGAAGTCATCGTGGATGTTACCTCCAACCATCAGGGCTACTTTACGTTCAGTGTGGGTGAGATCGGAACTCCTCCCATTACTCAAGAGAAGCTAAAGTATGTACTGAAACAGCCCAATGGCAAAACCAAGTGGCACATAAACTCGCAAGGAAATGACGTATTCAAGATCAAGTTGAAGCTACCCCGCGGCTTGACATGTGAACACTGCGTGATGCAGTGGTGGTGGAGGGTGGGCAATAACTGGGGCTGTGATGGGTCTGGTAATTGTGGGATGGGCAAAGGACCACAGGAGACCTTCGTAAACTGCGCTGACATCAGGATCACCAAAAGTGACGGAAGCGTGCCCCCACCTCCTCCAACACAACCTCCGGCTCCTACCCAGAAGCCTCCTAAGCCCACAACTCAGAGACCTACAGAGCCTCCACCAACCAACGCCCCTAATCCGGGGGGATGCAAAGCTACAGGTCACTTCAAAGGAAACCCTTCCATGGATGATTGGTGCAAAAGAAATTGCGCCAACGGTTACTGTCCACCCACACATTGCAAGTGTGAATAGAGCCAAGAGCCGTCAATTCAGTTAGTTAAATGTACTGCCACAGTTAGAAAGCGAAGGCAGGATCTGTAGACTGGACAATGCAAACTTTGAGTAAAGAGATTTAATTAACGTACGGCCTTTTCAGTCGTGCTGTTCCACCTGTATCATACATAGATCTATAGCAAAACATGGCAATAATAGGTGTAGACTGAGAAGTGTCTTGTTTTATCCGAGAGTTGGTGTGTTCATTCGGGGAGAATAAGTACCAGGTGATGGCCAAACACTGCCTGAGCCAGGAATTCTCAGTAGTACTGACGTTGCTAAGCAACATATGGTGCTACCTTTATTTTGCTCAATACCTGTGAATGTGCTCAACATGAGTGGATAATAAGACTTGCAAACTGCAGGCTTTTTGGGTGTTTAATGCGACGAAGATTTCACAAAAACAGATCTTGCTCTCCTGTGAGAAATCATGCCATTATCAGCCTCCTGTACTTCCCTCCTTTATGACAACCTAAAATGTTTTGCGCTACACTCCTCAATCACGATACCGTTGACGCCGTGATCACAAAAAAGTCACCAAGATAGTCACCAAAATTTCACTAAAATATAATCAAACATGGACGTACAAACACCCTCCTCCGATTTGACTACCAAACAGAGTTCCTCAAAAATCGCTCAAAATGTCCGAGAAAATGCGGATGAATAGGAGCGTATCGATAATCTTCATTGTCACGGTTTTGAGTAAATTTATAACCGCCGAGGCGAATTCAGAAAGCTGACGCCTCGAGAGTTAAAGAAAGAGAGAATGATTTTTTTTTCCTTTTTCGGGTAAAAGGGTAACGCTGTAACTATCACCTTTACAAGTTCCCTATGGTGGTTTAGAAATTGACATCTATCAACTTCAAGTTGAAAATTCAGCGTTTAGTCGTTGGCCACAACTTTGATCGATTTTTTTTTTTCGCGTCTGAATCGTTGCAGAAATGAGATCAAATTTGACAACGGCATTTCGCCGGTATTAACGAATCTGGCGGACGTTTTACTGATTCTCTTCTGAGTTAAAATAAAAATATATAAATTACAATATTTAGAGAGGAAGCCACATTAGCCTTGGCTGGTTTTCATGCGGGTCCCCTATCCTGGTCGAATTGAAATTAGAAGTGTTAGGTTTTTAGGAGAGAGGAAAACCGGAGAAAAATCCTCGGAGCAAGGCAAGAAGCAACGACACAAGCGCTCTCACCACTGCGCCATCTTTGCTCACGGCGTCCTTTTCCTCCATAAACATACAAATAAGACCATGTTAATAGCTCAACGGAAATCAGCTGTGTATATCTACTCCGTTCTAACACGGAATACTTATTTAGAAACCATAAAGGTGTGATTGCCTTGTGCAAATCTTTTCGTACGTATCTCAAACAACACAACAGTATTG